CAGCTCTGCGGATGTCTCGGGGGTATGGCACAGTGGAGTCGATTTTTTATATTTTATTTCACTCAAAAATCAAATCAAATCGTATCTAGATATGATTTTTTTTTTAAACACCTTATATTAATTTTGGCACTAATATGTTTTTAGAAAGAGTTGACAACTTAATTCCTTTTGCTCATATTCAGCAGTTAACCTGAATTAATTGGTATGCAATCTCGATCGGAAGAATCAAGTGCATTTTTCCTGAATCGATAATCTGCCTGGGAACAGTTCACCGAGCTCTTACTCCACTCGGTTTCGAATATCGGTATATTTTTGGTGGGTTCGAATCCCAACTTATCCGCATAAGATTTTTCTTTTTTTTTTAATCACTAATTAATACCTAAATTAGCCCATGGTCCCTATGTTGTGCAGGCAAGAAGTAATCAGGACAACAGTATATCTAATTATTTATTAACACTTAAAACCCAATCATTATCTAGAAAAAATACAAATATGTTAATTAACAAAATTCCAGTTAAATCTAAAATTTACCCTGCATTTTAAGTTTCTTTTTTTGGTCTTTTTTTGCTTTTTTTCTTAATAGATAAAATACSGATATCGTTAAAAAATTAATAATTGAAAAATTACATTTATATACTCCATAACGGTTCCCATTGTACAAAAATTATGATATTATGACTTGAATATACCATAAATGCGGATCAAAGTTGAAAAGCCTTGTCTTTATRACAAAGTTTACTGGTAATATTTTTTTTGTAATATAACGACTATTTAAGGTGGCTATAATTCTACCTAAACTAAAGCCATTACAATTCAAAAACTTTTTCACCAAGAGAGCATTAATGAGAGAGGGAAATTTCTTAATAACGCGCGCGCCATGTAAATTCCCGGTTGGGCTATTTTGAGTAACCGGAATGCAGTTTAAATCTCCCGTGAGTCATCAACTTGCGCGCGCGCTCTTCCCCTTTCGTTTTTAGTGATCAGGGCGCGCACACAAGTTGATGACGCACAGGAGAAGGGTAAGGCAAAATTGAAACTGCAACCGGTTACTAAAAATAGCCAAATCGGGAATTAACATGGCGCGYGCGTTATTAAGAAGTCCYTYWCTTATTTATGCTCTCTTGCTTTAACCTACTGTATATAATGCGGCTACAAAATTTGATTCATAAAAACATGAAAATACGACATGCTTTATATTTTTTTAATGAACTAATTATCAAAATAAGCTATAATTTTTTTCTGCTTTCCGGTTATTTTCCTCTGTAGATTTTACGCCAGGCTTCTGGTGTAAGWAAATTTTAGCATTTGCTCAAGCAAAGAGTTGTTTGCATGTCCACATTGGAATTAATCACGAACCYTTTTGCATTGTAAATCTTCATATTAAAGAAAAAAGTTCTATTGACATTGAAAAAAACAGGAGAAATATTCATTCAAAAATTTAAGAAAAGAAAGCAGAAAAAAAGAAAAGGAAAAGGCTTGGTCCAGTGAAATAAAATAAAATGGATAAAACTGGCTACCTTGATACTCTTAGATAAGTAAGAGAGGGAAAATAAAGCAATAACAGAAAGGGAGACTACAGAWTTGTAAAGAAGGAAAAATTAATCTATAACCGAACTAAAATAGTACTCATCTGTCGTCTTGTGTTAATTTTGAATATATAACTACTACTAAGAGTCATGTATAGCAACGCAAAATTGTGAGACTGAGGTTAACTGCACAGACAAATGAAGAAACTGGGCGAAAAGATGGAAAAACTTTGTAGCACAAAGCTTCCTGATTTACAAATTGATATCAAAAACTTTCACTTTGGCAAAAATCTGAGTGCTACACTAGAATATCAATTATTCACATGAGTACTATACACGAGTCTTAGCAACAGAATTCTATATTTCGCTCTTTTCYTAACGTGAATTAACATAATGGTCTTCTAAATTTTAGCTCACGCCGGAAACGTGTACAAAATAAGTTGGTGCTTGTGTTTCCAGTAGCGGTATTTCCGRTTCCGGTGCTGCGTTAATTTCGTAGTCTTCCACCCGTCGCTACGCCTTTAGGTTTTGGCAATCTTCTCATACATACTTTACAGCGACTCACACGTTCTCGTAGAGTTCCAGCTTTGAGAGTCTCAGGTCGTGGCACTCTGAATTGATTTTTTGCGTCGACTGTAGCAAGCCAGAAACTGTAGGTACTGCCATAATATTGACATGTACCTCGGCCATGACACTCGATAAAAGGATGTGCACGGAAATCTTCAAGGCAGGAGCCCGGTGATGATAAAGGCTGGCCTGATCCATCGTTTCCTGCGCTAGTATGCTGGAAAATCAAATTGAAGATTGTTAGAAGCGGAGACTAAAGAAACGCGTAAAACTGTGTATCATCAGATTTTGCAGGACGAGATATTTTGTACGACGTCACAGCGCCCAGAACGGTCGAGGTACGGACTGGTGACCTCCACTGAACCAGTCGCGACATTACTTCTATTCGCGAGTTGGGGTTAATGGTGTAACGCCGCTCTTGAGGTGATTTGAACATCATTTAACTTACCATTAGAAAACTGTACCCTTGCCATAGTGGGTCCCAATCCCTCGGGCAATCGGGCAGAGCGTTGGACTGACTGTGAACAGCGATGACTTGAGCGCGAGCCTCACAAACAGCACATCTACTGATATGTCTCTGTACGTTTTCTTCTCGCACCGGCATCATTGGAACTGGCGCAGTTGTCGATAGCCAGAAACTATAGTCATTCCTTGATGCTAAATTACAAACATTTTCGATGTTACAGAATAGGAAGGGCATGGTGCTGAATCGCCTCAGACATGAGCCAGGGCTGCCGAGGTCTTGTCCGTGGGCGCGTTCGTTTCCTTGCACGTATAGTAAGCTGTATCCTGTCCACAATGGGAAGGTAGAATCGGGACAAGAAGGAAGTTGGTCTGTTTGGCTATGACGAGTGAAGAAGAAGCCAAAATCGGAAGTTCCTTGAGGTCCACGTCTACCAGTTGGCCCAGGAACACCAGGCAGACCAGCAGGCCCTGATTCACCTTTACTCCCATCTCTTCCTGGAAAACCAGGGTTTCCTGGAACAAARAGTAAAACACGAATAAAACTGGGCGCGTGAATAATCCCTGGGATTAGACACGAAATTTTTCATCGTATCCCTCAAGAGTTCTAGGATGCATGCTTATCATTAACCCGCAAAAAACCTGAAATTCCGGTTGGAAAAACGAATGGTATACGTCATTCCGATGAGAAAGTTCCGGTCTTCCGATTGAGGTAATCCACTTTGCCCGCTCTTTTCGTTTCTTCCAGTAGACGCGTGTACCAATTGTCGATCGGAAGTCAAAGTTTTCCGCTCTTTTCTTGCAAGCAGCGAATTTCCAAACGCATGGATTGGTATAAATTATGTTAAATACAACACAACACAATACAATAACTTTATTTCAAGAGGGAAACGCAATTGCCCCATTTCACTATGACGGCACTGCTTGTTTATGTGGAGGACAGAATCGCCAAATCCAATAGAAAATTCAACAAAAGTTGCTCCTAGCGAAACAGTTTAATCTAAAATGGCCTGGTTTTCAGATATAATATGTGTTAATATGTACTAAAAAATATTCTGAGCGTTTGCTGGCTATTCTACTTCTCTTCGTGGATTGATACGGGTTTTAGAACAATTTTCGGTGAAGTTGCGTTGATTTGACCCCCTCCGACGACCATGATCCTTTGCGTTTAAACAATAGATTGTTGAAGATTGTTTTGATGTGACGTCATAGTGAATTAGGGCAATTACATTTACAGCTTCCTATCTAGATCTCACGGCCGTCAGAGAGAAAAAAACACCTAAAAATAGATAAAACRAATGTAATAATATTGATCGTTTTTCATTTTTTACCTCTTGGTCCTTCACGTCCATCTGCTCCCATCAATCCTTTGTCTCCCTTAGGGCCTGGACCACCAGGGAACCCTGGGATACCGGGTTCACCCTTATCGCCATTGATACCGGGCAGACCTGCATCTCCTCTATCTCCCTTTGGTCCGGKGGTTCCTGAAGAAAATAAAAAATGACGTTAGAGAATTCATAGTACAGACTCGGACAATAGCAAACCCGTCACCGTTGCTGCAGTTTTCCCAGTGGAATTCAAATCTTGTCCGACAAACAACTAAGCTGTAGTTATATTATTATATTAGCTATATATTCTATTTTCCAAAAATAGTTTTCCACAATAAAATAATTTTCAAAAAAAAAAAAAGATCCCTCAAATAATAACATGGAAATGAAACACAAAGAACTATAGCCAAGATTTTAGACAAATAATTGGATAATACAAGTTAATTGAAGTGAATGCAACGAGGCCTAKCAATACCTACCTAGCCCGTATCCTTTTTCGCCTTTTAAACCAGGTAATCCAGGAATGCCAGTGTTGCCTTTAGYACCAGGTAATCCAGGGAAACCATCAGCACCAGGAGCACCTTTATTTCCAGGCGTACCAGGTAGTCCATCCTTGCCTGGTTCACCCTTTAAGCCCTTGAATCCAGGAAGACCAGGGGATCCTCTGGCACCACTTGGCCCCTCGACTCCAGGACGACCAGTTGCTCCCTTTGCACCAGRTGTACCAGGCAAACCTGTGTCACCTTTTTCACCTGCAGGACCATCCTCTCCTGGTCTTCCATCCACTCCAGGGAAGCCTTGAAAACACGAAATAGATGATGAAGGTTTGCAAAAAGCAGTAGTCAAATGATTATTATTTTTTGGTTTCAAAGCAGAACTTGTTTTGAATTCATGCAACTTAGGAAAACTAAAATGAATTTTAAACAAAGATTGTGGAGAAATTTTACTTAGCCCGCGAAAGAAATGTTGTATGATTACTGTCTATCAGTCAAAATAAAACAAAATAAAATAATGCACTAAGTGTCTATTACTATACATTATGCTTATAGGCCAAGTAAAAACATTCTAGCACAAATATTGGCTATATTTGGATTGCTTTTTTCCCAAAATTAATTTTGCTCTATGGGTTTCCTGTGGTGCCTTTGATAGCTGCTTACATTGCATAAGTGGTAATCAGATCCGGGTTGTAAATTGATAGGCGATTAAATTCAAATCAACAAACTAGAATGTGCATTACACACCACAGACAACCCATAAGGAGCAAAACACCAACAGTTATTRATTTGAATTTAATCRCCTATCAATTTACAGYGCGGATCTGATTACAAAGCACCAGCAATTTGAAGTGCGTCCGAAATTATGCTACACGTAAAATGTATTTGCTTGTAGTGTTTCTCTCTTCTCATGGTTTTTCTGTGCATGTTTTGCTTTTTCTTTCTTTATAAAAATCACCAYTGATTTGATCTCCAATAAGAGTTCTAGTCTGAATTGGTGCAAAGGAACCCCTATGAATAGTSTTGAGGAGAGAAAAAATAGATTAAAAAACCATTTAAAATCATTTACATACCTGGATTTCCCTTATCTCCCTTTGCTCCAGGAGTACCATCACTACCAGGCGTGCCTGGCAATCCTAATTCACCTTTGGCTCCCTTCAATCCAGGCATTCCAGGTAATCCAGGTATTCCTGGGGATCCAGGGTTTCCTGGTACACCAGCAATTCCCCTGGGTCCTTGTGGTCCTCGTGGACCAGGATCCCCAGATGGTCCACGCTGTCCAGGTAAGCCGCTTACACCCTTGTCTCCTTTTCGACCTGATAATATACATCCAYAATATATTTCAGAGAACGAAGTAATTTGACTCCCCAGAAAGTAAACTCTGGAACTTCATACTTCAATTCCAACTCACACCTGCATAAGGCCAYGTCCACCATGTTTCAAAAATATTTCTAGTTTTGACATTCCATGACAGTGAGGCAGAGCTGAGGGAAACATTGCAGTCAAGGGACCACAAAGCACACTGTTTTCTGGGATTCCAGTCAATAAGGGTTTTGTCATATACCAAGTGTCATTTGAGAACACAAAAATAATTTTGGTTTTTTGATTATGTGGTTCTTTAAAACTTACAAAAAACTTATTGCCAGTTTCATCACTTCCGGTTTTAAYATTTATGGGTAAATAATGTAATGTTGCCTGCTCAGAATGGAAACAGGGAAATTTGATGACCACCACGTGGAACACTCGTGATAAGAGAGAAAAAACAGATTTGACACTTGATATATGACAAATTTGAAAACACTGTTTCCCTTGGTTCCAGTCAATAAGACAGTGTTAAGTGTGTACTTCSTTTGGACTTACCTCGCACTCCTTGGGCTCCTGGAGGGCCAGGGTTTCCAGGTACACCAGTATTACCYTTTTCACCATTTAGGCCATCAATACCATCTCTTCCAGGTAATCCAGGTGGTCCAGGAGGGCCTCGTTCTACTGTATTCTCACCTTGATCACCCTTTGCACCGCTACTGCCTTTGAAGCCTAGAAAATAGAAAAGAAAGATAAAATTTGTATAGAAAATTGCATGACCTTGAGCAGAATTTRTTATTAATAGGCAGGAGTGAGTTAAATAAAAAAAGTTTAATAGTTTAATTTGAAGTCTAATAAAATAAATTTCCRAACTTGTCTTACCTTTGGGGCCTACTGGTCCAATGTCTCCAGGGCGTCCATCTGCTCCATTTACACCCTTGCTGCCTTTTATGCCAGGGAATCCAGGCAATCCCTTCATTCCWGGAGCTCCAGGTGGGCCACGTGGTCCTACCAGTCCTCTGCCAGGGTTACCTTTGGAACCTTTTTGGCCTAAAATATCAACCAATCAATTAAAGAAAATGCTAGCCGGTTGAGCATTGCATACAGTTGTGAAACATTACCAGACAAACGTTAAGAGTATTAAAATCATCCAATGAGGAGAAAGTCCTGCCTCTGTAATTACATCAAGGGTTAGACTTTCAAGTGGCAAAATGACCATTTTAAATGGTGGTCCCATCTTTCCAAAATTCATCAAGAAGGTGGTTATATTACTAACCAATTCAGAGGGACTGAGAAGAACCATTGAGGAGGTAAAGAAACCTGGCAGTCACCATCATCAGTGCCTACACCTCATACTAACCCCCTTTCATRAATTCAGAACTTATTGTGAAGGGCCTTTGATCATATCCATATGGAATACTGCATGTGTTGCAATCCTCTTTTAATTTTTTCTTTATGTGCAGTTTCCTTTACATTACCTGGAGGTCCCTCAGAACCAGGTGTTCCATCAGTACCATCAACTCCTGGTGGACCAGGTAGTCCAATATCTCCTCTGAGGCCGTTAATCCCATTAATGCCATCTCTTCCATTCTCTCCCTTTTTGCCAGGTGATCCAGGTGGTCCTGGAGGTCCAGGTTGGCCTGATTTTCCAGGAGGTCCAGGTGTTCCAATGTCACCAGGAAGCCCAATGTCACCCTTAAAGCCTCTTATCCCATCTACACCTATTAGTAAATAGAATTTGGGTTTAACATTCTAGCCGGCTTTAGTTACAAATGACAGAACAGTTTTGAACAAAAGGTGACTTATTACAAACCATTGGCACCAGGAGGTCCAGGTTGTCCTGGATTTCCAGTCATTCCTTTTGGCCCTGGGATGTTTCCAGGTTCTGTGGTTCCAGGGGGTCCTTGAATACCCTTTCCACCTTTATCACCCTTGAATCCTGGGAAGCCTGCACGTCCAGTATCACCAGGTGGTCCAGGTATTCCTATGAAAAAGTTATGTTAGTGGCATATTTTGAACTTGATATTCTCTAGGCATCAATGAGCATGGATAATTTCATCATAAAAAGTGGACCACATTTGACCAGGAAGGATGACTTTTTCGATACTTACCAGGATCTCCAGGTGTACCCTGAGCTCCTCTCGTTCCAGGCAGCCCATTTTCACCACTTGGTCCACGGGGYCCAGGAAGACCTGGGAATCCTTTCTCTCCAATGTTACCATCAGTACCRTCTTTTCCAGGAAGACCAGGGGGTCCTGGAGGTCCAGAGTTACCAGGATCTCCTGGTAATCCAATATCACCRTTCAGACCTGGGCCACCAGGGAAACCATTTGCTCCATTGGAACCATCTCTRCCACGGACACCCTTCAATCCAGGGCTTCCTAAAATAATGATTCATTTGAAATTAAATTCAGCCAACCTTTTTATGCTAAAGAGTAAATTTRTAAAACATCAAATGCATAGAGTGATCTAAGATGATTATTTTGGGTTGGCGAAGTTAATATAAACTTAAAATAAAATAAAATTTTGATCACCAGATTGATATTCGTCRGAAGGAGAGACTGAAGGTGGTACAGAGGTAGTGCACTTAACTCTCACCTCTGGGGTATCAGGTTCAATTCCTGGACTCCTCAGCATCACATGTGAGCAGAGTTTGTCAGGTCTTTACCTTGATTTGAGGGGTTTTCAGTTTTCCTCCCTTTGCAAAACCTAACATGATCTGTGAGTTATCAATGACCTGATTTTGATTATCATAAAATTAGGAAATGGTTTCATGGTTTAATCTGTGAGTAAGCAGTGCACTGACTTAGATAAACCCAGAGTTGTTTCAGGGTTCTATCTGTGAGTTAGCCATGCCCTGACTTAGATCAGCCCAGAAGTTGTTTCAGGGTTCTATCTGTGAGTTAGCCATGCCCTGACTTAGATCAGCCCAGAGTTGTTTCAGGGTTCTATCTGTGAGTTAGCCATGCCCTGACTTAGATCAGCCCAGAAGTTGTTTCAGGGTTAGATCTGTGAGTTAGCCATACCCTGAGTTGTACCTAGCTACCACCTAGATCAAAAAAAGTAGGTTGTTTTAACCTTCTTCCTTATGAGGACACTAAAAATGAAATAAGAATATCRAAATTTCAATATCAAACAAACCTCTTAGACCTGGTGGACCAGGTTCACCAGGGGGGCCTTCTACRGAAAGTCCTTTGTCACCCTTATCTCCTTTGACTCCTGCAGTACCTTTTGGTCCTGGTTCACCTATTGAGTTGGAGATGGTTGAAGTGAGACAATCTTGGGGAAAAAACTGGTTGATATACTGACATTAGGGAACAGCCTCACTCAACATGACCATTGATTGTAGAGAGAACAGTAGCTTTTCAAATGTCTATTTGATGTTCCTTTTAGATTTGGGTTTTGTAGGTTAGAGTCAAAGCTTTCAGACTAATTAGTCTATCCTCAGGGAATAATGAGATATTGGAGATCTTCACAGATAAAATTGTTTCACTAACAAAAAGCTTTTAAATCTTATATACTAAAATATTAAGTATATAGGACCCCATTGAAAAACAACTTTGGAGACATGGGCTTCCTCTTTAAATATTATAATAAATAAACGATTTTAGAATAGTTATTTGAAATATAATGTGCCAACAATTGGCTGGCCACCATGAGAGGACAGAGATCAGCTTGCACAAATTTGTTCAAAAATATTTTATAAAAGCAATATAAAAGGGATGCTTATGTATCTGATGTGCTGTGATATGAAAATGCTGGGAGCTGTAGAGCACTCAAGAAGCAAGAGAAACACTTGCCTA